CCCCTCCCTCTCCTCTTTCCCCTTCTTGGGCTATAGTTTTCATATGAAAGCTATAAATGGGCTGAGTACATTAGATACTTTTTCTTCCATTCTTGAGATACTTTGCTAAGAAGAATATGTTCCAGCTCCGTCCATGTAAACACAAAAGAGGTAGTCTCCATCTTTTTTTAAGGCTGCATAATATTTCATAGTGTACATATATGACAATTTATTAATCCCTTCATGGGTCGATGGGCACTTGGGCTTCTTCCATGACTTAGCAATTATGAATTGGACTGCAATAAACATTCTGGTACATATGTCTTTGTGAAAATGTGATTTTTGGTCTTCTGGATATATACCTAGTACAGGAATTGTAGGATTGAATGGCAGGTCTATTTTTAGATTCCTAAGTGATCTCCAAACGTCTTTCCAAAAGGAATGTATTAGTTTGCATTCCCACCTTTTCTCCATATCCATGCCAACATCTCTGGTTTTGGGATTTTGCGATGTGGGCTAATCTTACTGAGGTTAGATGATATCTCAAAGTAGTTTTGATTTGCATTTCTCTGATGATTAAGGATGATGAGCATTTTTTTCATGTGTCTATAGGTCATGTACCTGTCTTCTTCAGAGAAGTTTCTCTTCAAGTCCCTTGCCCACCTTGAGATGGGATCACTTGTTCTTTTCTTGCTAATACATTTGAGTTCTCTGTGGGTTCTGATTATTAAACCTTGATGGAGTGCAGATATCTTCTCCCATTCTGAGGGCTGTTTACTTGCTTTATGTACTGTGTTCTTGGCTGTGCAGAAGCTTTTTAGTTTGATCAGATCCCAGTAATGTATTCTTGGTGTTGCTTCAATTGCCGAGGGGGTCTTCCTCATAAAATATTCACCCAGGCTGATTTCTTCAAGTGTTTTCCCTGCACTTTCTTCTAGTATTTTTATAGTTTCATGTTTTAAGTTTAAATCTTTAATCCATTGACAGTCTATTTTAGTTAATGGTGAAAGGTGTCAGTCCAGTTTTAGTCTTGTATACATTGCCAGCCAGTTCACCCAGCACCATTTGTTAAATGGGGAGTCTTTTCCCCAGTGAATGTTTTTAATTGGCTTATCAAAGCTCAAATAATGGTAATTAGCTGGGTTCATCTCTTGGTTCTCTATTCTGTTCCATACATCTACCTCTCTATTTTTGTGCCAGTATCATGTGGTTTTGATCACTATAGATTTATAGTATAATCTGAGGTCTGGTAGTGTGATTCCTCCTGCTCCTTCTGTTACATCTTATTTTTTTTTCTTTTTGTTGAATTCTGGAGACATTGCATAAGCAGATATTAAAGTAAATATTTTTATGCTTGGAGATGAGTGTGTCCTTCCCTCTGCTATAGCTATAGTATATAGTGTTGGTGGGATTGTATCATTCTAGTCAGAAGTTGAGGTAGGTTTAATGTTTGTTGTTGTGGTGATTATCATTAGTGCCGTACAGGTTTTAAATTTCTCTAGTGATAACTTATATGTAGAATGTGGGCTTTATTTTGACATAAACATGTTTTAAAAAGGTCTATAGGATGGGTGTGGTGACTCATGCTTGCAATCCTAGCATTCTGGGAGGCTGAGGCAGGATTGCTTGAGCTCAGGAGTTAGAGACAGCCTGAGCAAGAGAGACTCTGGCTCTAGAAAAAATAGAAAGATTAGCTGGAGGCAGTGATGGGTGCCTGTAGTCCCAGCTACACAGGAGGCTGAGGCAGGAAGATCACTGAAACACAAGAGTTTGATATTTCAGTGAGCCATGATGATGCACTGCCTTCTAGCTGAGGTGACAGAGTGAGACTCTTGTCTCAAAAAAACAAAACAAAAACAAACAACAACAACAACAACAAAAAACCCAGTCTGTATGAGTGCCAAATTGATAAGGGTAGATAGTGGTGATATTGTAATGTATTAACTTTGCTGAGCTGAAGTAGGTTTCTTAAAATTTCCCTTCCCGTTTATTTCTGGCTACAGTAAGCTAAAAGAGACATGTTTGTGTAAGTTTTCAAGGGCAGGAGAAAAGCAGCTTTTCAGTTTTGTAATGGGAAGGGTGGTGCAAGGACACTAGTTGCTCTTGCAGCTCATGAACTTTGTCACCTATTAGCTGGTTTACCTTTTTGGCATGGAGCATCAGCCTTCCCCTGGATCATCCTTCACTTTCTTTGATTCCTGAGCCAAGTGTGTGTATAACCTTGGTATCAGTCCCTTTAGCAGGGATACCCATCATGTCTTCAAGCTGGACACAGTGAAGAATAACCAGTTTGTGTTTAAGGTTCCAGTTCCTTCCTCCCTTTTCAAATGCTTCCTCTACAGACTTAAAGAATCATAGTGATTATTTCTTTGATTAAATCTTGGTTGACATATACATTTATGGACATTTTGTGATGGAGAAAATTATGAATTAGGGAGTATCAATTATTTTCATTAAAGAAAGGTCATCTCAAGAGTATGGCAGGACAGAAGATATAAGAGCTGCTATAATTTGGATATTTGGCCCTTCAAGACTCATGTTGTAACTTGATCCCCAATATTGGAGGTGGGGCCTAGTGGGAGGTGTTTGGGTCATGGAAGTAGATCCCTCATGGATGGATTAATGCTGTCTTTGTGGTAATGAGTGTTCCAAAAGTCACCATATATAAGGAAAATGGAAAATTGCAGCTACAAGGACTTTTATTTACACAATATTCATTACAAAATATTTTCTACATGGTGGCCATTTCTTTCTACAGACACACAAAGTCGTCTCTCCACTCATGACAAACATGTTCCAAGATATCTGTTTTCTATGTATGGCAACTTTTGGAACACCTTGTAGATATTCTAGAGAACTTTTATTGATAACCCCAAAACAGAGATCTCAGGAACACCCTTTCCAGATCATTTAATTATATTCAGTAAATTATCACAGAAAAGGCAGTATCTGATATTGGGACACAAGAAGAATGAGATATCTGTTAAATAAGTAGGAGGCCATTTGCTTAAGGCTGCCTTGGTACTTTCAATTCCTATATAACAAACTACAACCTAACAGTATATAAAAAAACCTGAAATCTAGCTGTGTCAGCTAATTACAAAGTGAGCTTCAGCCAATAATAGGCAGCCAACAGATCAGACCATGCCCCAATAAAGCAAATACCTCATCACACCATGGCCAAGTAAGTCAGATGTGTAGCTGTAGCCAATCAGGTGATTTCTCTACTTTACTTTCTGTAAAAGTTAGCTGCTCACACTGCTGGCCAGAGCTCTCTAAACCTCTTCTGGTTCTGAATGATACCCAATTCACGAATTGTTCTTTGCACAAGTAAATTCTGTTAAATTTATTGGTCTAAAGGTTTTTTTTTTTTGAGACAGAGTCTCACTTTGTCACCCTAGGTAGAGTGCTCTGGCGTCACAGCTCACAGCAACCTCCAGTTGTTGGGCTTAGG